GTCATCAGGTACATGAGGCAGCCCACAAGCTCTGGATACGGGCCACTCAGCTCTACGTGTCGAGAGAATTAGGCAAAAAGAGAGAGAGTTGAACTAGCAAGAATGGGGATACAAATAGCAAACCCTAGAAGGGTTGTACTCGCTACAGAGCACCCCACTGCAGGCTAGACAAATATAACATTCTGACACACCCCCATAGCCAAAGTGGGGTGTAATCAGCAGAGCAAGGAAAGCAGTACAAGCTCAGGGTGGATCACGATGTCACCACACATTCTGAGCACAAGTTCAAGAAGCAACAGTTTATAAGTTATGAGCAAAGCTAGAGGCGGTCACAGAGGACAAATGAGGAGGAGGAGGGCTGGCGAGAGGAGAAAGGAGTGGAGGCGACGACTGAAGCTGCAGACACACGGGCATCAGACGGCTCTGGCGCAACGCTAGTGGCTACCGGAAGCAGAGCCCCGGACTACAGGGGTAATAGTCGCTGCGGAGGGTGCAGCGGACCCACGGGCGACAGGTGCAGCCGGCTCTCTGAGCTACCGGAGGTCCGCGGAACCCCGGAATACAGGTGCTGCGGACGACACGACGGCAGTCTCCGCTCAACCTCCCCCAACAGTCCCACACCCCTCGACACACACCCCTTGCTTCACCCCTAGCTCCACTCCCACGGTACCCCCCCTTAAACCCCAAACCCTAGACTCCCACACACCACCCCCCTCAGCGGCAGCTGCAGTAGAGGGAGACTAGGGAGGAGGAGGAGTAGGTAGAGTAACGCACAACCGACACCCCCACAGCCGCCACCCCCACACTCCCCACCCCCAAACCCTAAAACGGGCGAAAGGGAGAAGGAGCGCGGGGGACGGCGAGGGGGAAGGCGCGCGACCCCCAGGGCGCCACCTCTGGGCAGCGGGGGCCGCGCGCGGCTCCCCAGGGCGCCTCGACGGGGCAGCGGGGGGCCGCGCGCGGCTCCCTAAGGCGTCGCGACGAGGCAGCGGGGGCCGCGCGCGGCTCCCTAGGGCACCTCGACGGGGCAGCGGGGGGCCGCGCGCGGCTCCCTAAGGCGTCGCGACGAGACGTCGGGGGCGACGCGCGGGGCTGCGGGGCGACGCGGGGGGTCGACGGCGACGGGGGGAGGGCGCTTCGACGGTGGGAAACCGCCGCGCGCCTCGGGGCGCACGGCGTGCAGAAAACCGCCGCGCGCCCCGAGCGCACGGCGGGATGAAAACCGCCGAAACCCTAGAAAAAAAACCGGCAGGAAGAAGTCGTCGCGCGCCCGAGGCGCCCGGCAGGAAGTACAGCAGCGGAAGCATTAGGTGGTGGGCCCACCCACAGGATCGACCCAGGAGGGTCGACCTGCTCTGATAGCATGTCGAGAGAATTAGGCAAAAAGAGAGAGAGTTGAACTAGCAAGAATGGGGATACAAATAGCAAACCCTAGAAGGGTTGTACTCACTACAGAGCACCCCACTGCAGGCTAGACAAATATAACATTCTGACAGCTCTACGGACTCATCCGAAGGCAGAGCTGAGAGCGAGTGACCGGTAGGCAGAGGAGTAGACTGAGGCGAGGAGTACAAATTGTTCGTCAAGAATAACAATGGTCAGGGCAAGCCCTTACAAAAACTCGATATTTTTTTATTCTGCCGTTTTTTTTTATTCCGCGCTCACCGTAAGGCTGTGCACCCTTTCCATAAATCACAAACTACTGCCTCCATTCATGCCGCTTCTCGGTGACCAAAGTGAGAAGATGACTACTGCCTCCATGAATACCCCTGTCCTTGTTAAACAGTCTCTCCCTGCTGTCACCTTTTTGCAGGGTCTACACCGGCGGTAGACTGCTCTGTCAAATACGTTTGCCTTGGTGGGGACCCCGCATGTATGAATAAGAAACTTGCATGCGGGCAGTAAGCTAGTGAGTGGTCGATACTGTGGGGTGTGGTACGGTATGCTGCATACATCCCCCATCATGAAATCATGTACAAGGGAGTTGTGACATGCTAGTAGCTATTCCTTCGGAGCATGCAAGCTTCACACTGTGCCTTAATTTCCACTCGTCTTACTCACCTCTCCCCCGTGTGTGCAAGTCATCATCACTTCATGTCAGTATACGCTTCGCATGAAAAGGCCATAGCTGTCCCTTTGCAGCGCGGCAGAGCCTATGATGTGGGCCCAACACGCCTCGTGTGCATGTGCCGAGGAACTGATGTACCACCTCCCTTCCTTGTCCTTTTCTCTGCAGGCCTAGCCGCCTAAGTATAACTTCAAGCAACAGGGGAGGGGGGGGGGGGGGGGGGAGTAAAGGGGAGAGGATGGGGGGCTGCTGAGGCTGGAAGCGTGTAGTAGTGGCGGAGACGAGGGGGCTTCTGCTTGCTGCAATGGATGTTATCCTCGAGATCTTGTGTTTGTGTATTCTATGTGGGTGACTGGGCATGGTGTATCCTTGTATGTGCGTTCTTTGGTGCCTGGATGTCAATCAGTAACGCAGTGGATCTTATTGTAACACTGTATTTCAACTCTAGTTCACCTACCGTATGATTCCTTAGCATGTGCTGCATCCGTTCAGCAGCTAATGCATGAATTCGCTGCTTTCCACGCGTAACACTTAACGCCGCTCTACAGGAGTAACTTGGCCAACGTTTTGGGTTTGGAGAGATTTTCCACTGCATAGGGCGGCTTACGCGCTGGTTGGAAGTGATGAGAGTCAAGGCGACCCGAGAGTAAGTAGTCCCAAGATTTTTGAATCTAACTCGCGTTTCGGAAACGAGCTGAGACACCAGCAAGCGGGACAGCGGCCTTCTAAAACGGTATTCTAGGAATTACCTGTACATTCATAACCCATCCTGTGATTTGGCGAGCAACGAAGGCGGCGAAGGGAATACCTAAGCTTGACAGGGACCAGCTTACTTGTATGGAAACCTAGATAGCCGCTTACCTCGACTATTACCGTCATACCCCGGATATAAGCGCCACCCGCGGATAAGCGCCTGGCGCTTTTAATCGGCGCCCGGCGCTTATATCCGGTGCTCGATTATAAGCGCACCCCCCTGAAAAAACTTGTTTTATTATAAGCTCACGTAAACTTTAATTTTTGAATTGTGTTCGAAACACTGTAACGATTCCTACTTTAGCAGGGGAATGTGTTGCAGATTCGCTTCCCTTCACATTCGGACCCTGCACTGGGTGCGGGTCCAGTCAGCAGGAGCAGTCAGGGGCTGTCAGAAGCTGTCAGAAGCTGTCAGGAGCTGTCAGAGTGGGTGTATCTCCAGCGCGCGCGAGAAGTTTCACAGAACTTCGACTCGATTGGAAAAGGCAAGCACGAGATCTACAGCTTGGTGTTAAAAAATATATCAATTATAGATGTCGTTTTATAAACGCCGGCGCTTATAAATTTACCCGATTATAAGCCCACCCCCCCTAAAAAAACATGTTTTATTATTGCCCCCCATGGGGGTATATCCGGGGTATGACGGTACCAGATTAGCGTCTAAAAGCACTCCAATGCGAAATGTCCGCTCACGATTTCCGTTTGAGAAAGGACCATGGTGGATAAAGCGTCGGACAACACTTGTGTAGGAGCTGAGCGGATGCTATCAGGGAGCGAGACAGATGCTTGGGGGAATGAAAGCAGGACGAGGAGGAATTGATTCGTTATTGTGAAAATTATGTAAATGTGGTTTTGTTTTGTCAAACATATCAACTCTGAAACATGTAGTTCGTGTAATTCTGTTTTATCAGAAACCCCGCATCTCACGGCATTTTCAACAGTTTTTTGGGCGAAGAGCTCTAAAGTCATGTATTTTCCTGGGTGACTTGCACGAACTGGCGGTTGCTCATGGGTCTGGACGTTCACTGGAAAGTTTTACGAACCTATCACCACTCTAAGCTGCAAAACTTCTGTAAAACTCGACCGTTCGGCCCGTGATTCAGCGTTTGATACTCCGAGTGTTTTTGTTTGATACTCCGTGATGTCACACAGCGTTTGATACTCCGTGATGTCACACAGCGTTTGATACTCCGTGATGTCCCACACCTTGTAGCTAGCCATTGCTTACTGAATCTGGAATCGGGATCCCCACCAGTTTGAGGATCAGTTCCCACTGGTACTTTCAGATCGGGCAGTCAGGGTGAGATAGAAATGTATACGACTAGTCTAGCGCCACGAGGTCATTCGGGAACGGGAACGCGATCAATTTCTGCTGGTACCCGTTTGTGATTTGAGCAAACTGCTTGTATCCCGTTTTACCGCACTAAAAACGTGTGTAGCGAACCACACCGTCAAACATCCATTGCGAGTCAAGCGACTCATCCAAGTGAATTATACTTGTAACGCGTCTCACCAAACTTCTCGACGGTGATTCGCTGGGGATTGCGATTCGCGGTGGTGACCGCGCCAAGTACGGCCGCTTCATTCATTCATCACACCACAATCCGCCCTCACACACCATACAAATACCCACGCCTTTCCCCTCCCCAACACCAGTCCCACATTTCAAAGCTCTTGATTCACTCGCTTTCAGCTCCCTGCATCCTCTTCACTAGTAGCTACTAGTTTTAATCATGGCGCGCCTGCTTACTGCTCTCGCTCTACTGCTTGCCGTCACCGTCGCTCTCGCATCATTCGCTTCTACTGCTGCTGCTCGATCTATTCAGCTTCGTGGCAATGGGATCGATGGTAAGTCGCCTGCGATGATGACTGCCAATGATTTCCGTCAATGATAACGTGCATTCCGAGAAGCGAGAGACGTTGGCTCCATGTTATGATAATTTTCAAACCAATGCGATTGTAAATCGCAGACTATTGCGATGGTAAGTCGCTGACCCGTGTGATGGGAAGTCGATGGTGACGCGGTGCATCATCTCGAAAATATGAGCACGTCCTCCATGCTTGGCTATAAGCGGCGTGAAACGACAATGAAAGGCGCTCGCGTCGTACATGCACACGTTGCTGCTTCCTCACTTGCGCTGCCACCCTCAAGCCGACTTTTGAGTTTACTCAAAAGACAATGAATGTCGCTCCCGTCCTACCTGCACATGCTACTTCCTCACTAACGCTGCCCCGCCTCTCCTCTCACCTTGCCAAGCGGCAACTGCATCACTTGCCACATGCTAGTACTGTACTCCAGCCAATTACGGTCAAGAGTGACCAATTCGATTTGCATACGAGTGACTCAATCTGCGCCGTGATGGCCCATGGTTTTTTCCCTCTGACGCGCACACGTCTGCGTCCAGCCCATGCCTCACGTCCACCCTCCGACCATGCCTCACGTCCACCCTCCGACCATGCCTCACGTCCCCACGCCGCATGGAACAGAAGCGCAAAGCGCCTGACACTCACTCCCTCCCCTTGCCTCCCCTCACCCCGTCCCCCTGTCTCCTCGTCCCCTGCGCGAACCTAATTTTTGGCATGGCGTGGCGGCAGGTGCGTCGGGAGCGGTAGGCACCGCCGGCGACTTTACGGCAGAGAGCGCGCCGAGTGTTTCTCAGCCCAGCGCGGGGGGCGAGCAGAGCCGCCGCAAGCTCCAGCCGGGCAATACTACCCCTCGGCAATTTCCTAAAGGCCTGAACCTGTTTGCGAAGGATGGTAAGAATGATCATGCCCGGAAAAGCTCAGTGTTTGATTTCGTGCGGCTGCTACGTTTGATTTCGTTTATTTTTATTTTTGTCCCTGCCGTGAATGTATTCACGGAGCTTATGATGCCGTGCTGGACAAAGGCTGGGCAGCATTGGGTGGTGTGACGAGCATTGATCGCCTTCGAACCAACTGGCAGTTGGTTCGAAGGAACTGGTGCTCGCTCCTAAAATCTCAAATCGCGGCCTGAGGTGAATCGCGGCCGTCCATGTGCTGCTGCCTCCCTTGATATCTCAGGCGACCTTACCGCGAAGTGAAGTAGTCGATTCAGCCGTTTCCCCTTTGCTGTCGATTTTTAAGTCGATTTTTACCCCCCTTTGCTGTCGCCCATGTGCAGGCACTTTGTGCTACACAGTGAAGCATACAGATTGCGCAAAGCCCAAGAAGTCCTACTTTTATGGCATCCCAAGCAACCCCAGCTTGCAGGAGATTTCCGCGTGCGAGGAGAAGCGTCAGCGACAGATCAAGGAGTGCGAACAGTGGTGAGCGGGCGACGTTTGTTCGTGAGAGGGCGACGCATGATGGTGGGAGGGCGATGCGTGTTGGTGAGAGTGCGATGCATGTTGGGGAGAGGGCGATGCATGTTGGTGAGAGGGTGATAATCTGGGGTGGTGCTGGTATGCTGCACACACACAACCGTGAAACCATGTGCAAGGTACTTTCTGTGCGGCGCACGATTCATGTCATGGGAAGCCCGTGCTAGCTGTTCCTTTGGAGGGAGCAAGCTTCACAAGTATGTCGCATGTGCCTTCATTTCCAGCCTGGTCTTGCCCGCCTCATCCCCGTCATTGTCGGCGTGTGCATGGGCTGCGGGGCACAGCCGCCGTCATGGCAGCATGATGAGCGTCGCATGGAATGGTCATGCCGGCTATCCCTCTGCAGCGCAGAGGCTGTAGAGTCTATGTGGGGCCCACCACGCCCGCATGTGCATGTGCTGTCAGACTGACTTGTGCCACCTCCCCACCTTGTCCTTCTCTCTGCAGAACTATCCTATTCCAGAAGGTCTCAACAACTAGCAAGACCGGGCATGTCAGCTGCCAAGATTAGGAGCATGTAGTCGTGGTGGGGGGAAGATGAGAGGGCTTATGCTTGCTGTAACTTAGATTAGGCTTGTGACCATCGGGGAGTGCTCATTTCTCTCTTGGTCATTCTGCACAGGTGTGCATTGATGCTTGTGTGCCCCATGTTGGTGTTTGTGGGTATGGTAGTTATGCTTGGGTGGGTGGGTGGGTGTTTGGGGGAAGTGAACACTGTGCCTGGATGTCAATCAGCAACGCAATGAATTTGAGTGTAACAACTCTATTTTACCGCAATCGGATCGGCGATCAAAATGTCGCAGAACCCATGCCGGAATTGGATCGGCGAGTTCGATGTTTTCAGCCGTGGACGGGGGGGAGCAGCGTCAAGAACAGTCGACGCTGGGATTTGGAAAGCTTCCTTGCCGAAAGTAATAGGGAATAGTGTAAGGGAGAACGACGCAAGCTGCCGTGTGCCCCGAATACTACTACATTCGCGTCTGAGAAGTTTCGACCAGCTTCGACTTATCTTGTATCTAATTTCACTCTAGGATTACTATGCGGTGGTCTTTAGGAACGATGAGGGAGAAAAGGGAATGCGATACAACAGCACAGGGAGCGAGATAAATGGCTAGGAGGATGTGACGAGATAAATGACGCTTGAAAGTTGTACTAGGAGGGGGGAAGTATGACATATACCAGGAAGATGTGTGTGTCACTAGCGAGTACAAATCAGCGCAAAACAAACCTCCTCCCCGCGTCCGTGCGGCTCAAAATCTGGGGTTCCTGCTTCACCATGTCAGCATATTGCCACGTGACTTCATTTCATTGGATTCGGAAGCTAAACAGACATTCGATTGAGTGAACCTCGTAAAACGTATTCAGCAGTTCTCCTTGGACATCCTCGTGTCGCCAGTGAGTTCATGATGCGCACATGTAGGTAAATACATATTCTTTTTTTCTGAGTTGTTGCACTACCTACCATAACACTCATTTGCTGAGCAATGGAGAATTTTTCACTGATTGAAATAAAAAAAACAGCAATATTTACGAGACCTTACTTAATATTAAGCTGGCATATACTAGGGGAACTGCTGAAACATCGTAATAGAATTGTATGAGATTGATATTTAGTGAGAGAAATGAATATCAGTAATATATCAATTATTAATTATTCTTTACCATTATGCAGTGTTTCTCCATGATTTTTTTTTGTTTTGTATTTATCTTGTCCGATTTTCTGGATTTCATATTGCTCTATAGATGGTCTTACTGTTTATCTGAGCATCTCAAATCAGAATCATGTAGCTACGTATAAATCACTGATGCTTGACTCCCGCATCTCACTGAGAGTCATGTATGCACCGATCCTTACTTTCGGGCGTTGAGCATGAGAGCAGATGATTTTCCTGTGTGATGTCCACGAGCTGGCTATGGCTCAAGGGTATGGAAGCGCATTGCACGTACTTAAGGATAACTGCTCCAGTCCTTAACTAAGATATCTGGTACTTAGAATAGAAGCCCAGGCCCTAGAGGCACTGCACCTTGCTTTCCAGCTTCGAAATGTCATCGGTGATTTCCTACCCCTATAGCCAGCCCTTCCAACTCCCAGTTCGCCAACACTTTTAACTGAAAGCATCAACGAATCTGACGCTACCTGGATAAAACAGTACCACGAGTAGATTATCGGGCAGTTTGGGTCCACGACTCACATTCTTGTGAACGCGATCCATGTTGGTCAGAACCGTTTTGCGATTCAGGCAAATCGTGCTGGATCCCTTTCTACCGTGCTAAGAACGTGTGTATCGTACCACACTGTCTAAAATCCACTGTGTGGTCAATCAGTTGATCCAAACGAAGTTGTAGTCGTCGGAACACGTCTCACCGAACACCTCGACAGTGATTGGCCGAGATTTGCGATTCGCGATTGTGACTCACCCGCCGAGCATGAGCAACTGTGCTTCAGCCCATTCACATCCACCACAGTCCGCCCTCTCACACAATTCAAATACTCGCTAGTTTTTCCTTTCAACACCGGTCTACACATCGTAGCTCTTTATTCAATCGCTTCCTAACACACTCCCACAACATCCTCGCTCGTTTCCAGCTCTCTCATGCACCCTCGTTACTAGCTCGTGATCATGGCGCGTCTGCTTACTGCTCTCTTTCTCCTGCTTGCCGTCACCGTCACTCTCGCATCACTCGCTTCCACGGCTGCTGCTCGATCTGTTCGGCTTCTTGACGACGGGATGACTACCGATGGTAAGTAGCAGACCTGGATAATGACTGCCGATGATTTCACGTGCGATGTTTATGCACGTGCATCTCCGTGCGATAATGACACGCATCTGGAAAAGCGATAGATTGGTTTTATGCAATAGATCCGCCTGTCACTCTCTCTCGCCCATCACTCCCCTCTTCCCTCCCCCGGTCCCCTCATCCCCTGCGCGAGTATATCATGTGTCGGCATGGCGTGGCCGCAGGAGCCTCGGGATCGGCAGACAGCGCCGACGTCATCACGGCGGAGGGCGCGTCGAGTTTTTCTCATTCCAGCTCGGGGAACGACGAGCAGAGCCGCCACAAGCTGGGGTGGATAACCGATTCTCTCAAATGGGTCAATCTGAAATTACAAAGTAAGAATGATCATGCCAAGCCCTCACAAGTACTTAGAGATTCGTTTTTTTCTGCGGTTTCTGGTCATTGACTGCTCCACGTAAGGCTGTGCGCCCTTTCCAAAAAGCTCAACTTGAGATAAATTGCGGCCGTCCGTTTGCTCCTGCCTCCAATGATGCCGCTTCTCGGTGACCCGTTCTCTTCTTGCTGCCACCGTTTGCAGACATGCCCTTGTGTGGAAGGGAAGGTCCCTGTCTCTTGCGTTAACCCGCCAATCACGGACAAGGATAAGGCGTGTGTAAAGAAGCGGACGGATTGTGGGCTGGAGCCCTCAGGTTGGTGAGAGGGAGATGCGTGGTGGTGAGAGGGAGATGCGTGGTGGTGAGAGGGTGATACGTGGTGGTGAGAGGGTGATACTGCGGGGTGTGGTTCCGTATGCTGCATATATGCCGCCATGAAACCATGTGCTAAGGAGTTGTTCCATGCTAGCTGTTCCTTTGGAGCAAGCAAGCTTCACACTGTGCCTTCATTTTCACCTCTCCTCCGTGTGTGCAACTGCTATTGAGTCATCATTTTGGCATCATGTGCGCTGCATGGAAAGGCCATAGCTGCACCATATCAGTGCGGCAAAGTCTTAGAGCCTATGTGGGCCCCACCACGCCTGCGTGTGCGTGTGCTGTGAGCCTGACTCGTGCCATCGTCTCCCCACCGTGTCCTTACTCTCTGCAAAACCACCAGCCGCCAAGAGCAGCACCTAGCAATACCGGCGCGTCCACTGTCAAGATGGGAGCTTGTAGTATAGTTGCAGGGGAAAGACGAGAAGGGCTTGTGCATGCTGTAGTGGGTGTTAACCTTGTGATCATTGTGCTTATGTACCGTATGTCGGTGATTGTGGGTGGGTGCTTGGGTGCCTGGTGTAACAGTGTTTTTCGACTCTAGTTTACCTATCGTATGATTCCTTCGCATGTGCTCCATCCATGAATTCGCTGCCTTCCGCTTGGAACACTTAACGCCGCTCCGAAGCAGTAACTTAGCCAACGTTTTGGATTTGAAGCAACGACAAGAATCAAGGCGACTCGACGAGTAAGTAGTCCCAGGATTTTCGAATCTAAACTCGCTTTTCGGAAACGAGCTGAGACACCGAACAAGTGGGCAGCGGCATCTGAAAACGGTATTTAAGGAATTACCTGTCGAAAGGCTAGGCAAACAAGAGAAACAGGAAGGAGGGTTTTGCACTAGCAGCAGGTAGGATACACACTAGCAGCAGGTAGGATACATATAGGAAACCCTAATTTGGGTTGTACTCACTATAGAGTACCCCACTGCAGGCTAGACAAACATAACATTCTGACACACCCCCATAGTCAAAGTGGGGTATAATCAGCACAACAAGCAGGCATAGCAATAGTTCACAATGATAAGCAAAGCTAGAGACTATCACAGAGGGCAAGTGAGGAGGAGGAGAAACTGTGGGGGCGAGAAGATGGGAGGCGACGGCTGAAGCTGCAGACACACGGGCAACAGGAGTGCGCAGCACTGACGCTACCAGGCTAAACCCGGACTACACGGCGACATGCGCAGTTGGCTCGCTGTGCTCCCATGAATGCTCACACTGTGGCTACCGGGCGCAGAGCCCCGGACTACTCAGGCCACAGGGGGTCGTGGCTCTCTGGACTTCAGGCGCTGCGGACGACAAGACGACTGCCTCCACTCAACTTCCCCCAGCTGTCCCACACCCCTTTTACACACCCCCCTGCTGCACCTCTAGCACTGCTCACACGCCACCCCCCTCGTACAACTCCGACGGCTCCAACACATCCACCCCCCTCAGCGGCAGCTGCAGCAGTGGGAGACGGAGGAGGAGGAGGAGCAGGGGACGGCGCACACACCCGGCACCCCCATACTTGCCACCCCCAAACCCTAACACAGGAGCGCGGGCAGCAGAGCGGGTGGGGCGCGGTCAGAAGCTCGGGGAACGGCGTGCGGCACTGGGGCAGACCGTACGGGCCTGGCGCAGGCCGGACGAACCGCGCGCGGGCCTGGCGCAGGTCGCGCGGGCCGCGTCGGGCGACGGGGGGCGACGCGCGGGCCGCGTCGGGCGACGGGGGGCGACGCGTGGGTCCCCGGGGGCTCCGCGACGGGCGACGGGGGGCGACGCGCGGATCGACGGGCAGGAAACCGCCGCGCGCCTCGGGGCGCATGGAAGGCAGTAAACCGCCGCACGTTCGGAGCGTGCAGCGAGCAGAAAACCGCCAGGTGCCCCGAGCGCGTGGCGGGAAGAAAAAACGTCGCGCGCCACGGGGCGCGCGACACACAAGACAGCAGCGGAAGCATCGGGCGGGACCACCCACAGGATCGACCCAGGAGGGTCGACCTGCTCTGATAGC